GGGGAGTTGGGATTTTGGATGAGAAGAATCCTATTTTTTAATTATATAATTATAAGGTCAGTAATTTTAATTTTTTAAATTGATGTGAGAAAAAAGAATCATTGGATCACTAATACTTTTTGTATTACTCCCCCCGTTCTAAAAAATACTTCCTCTTTCATTTTTTTTCACTTTCAACAAAACACTTCCACTTTCTATTAAAAAACCACTTTTACCCTTACTTTTTCATACCCTACTTATCACATCATACTTTATCTCTAATAATCTATCCATCACATCTTACTTTTACCTATCATATCAAGGGCAAAATTGGAAGTCAACTACAATTTAATACTTTCTTATTTTTATACAAAGTCAAAAGAGGAACATTTTTTCCAAACGGAGGGAGTAATATATTTTTGAATTTATACAAGGAAAAAAATTATAGATTTGTAGAAATATATCAAACCTAAATGATTTATATTTGATGCTTAATAAATATGTCAAATAAAAATCATGATCCGCATTGTAGAATAAAAAAAATTGTCTGAACCCGTGCGTGTCACGAGTAGATGCTACCTCCATCCCAAAATCGTTGCCTTTGTTTAAGTCTTGTAGTTACTTAAATAATATACTTCCTCCATCTCTGAAAAGGTTTCTTTATTGACTTTTTGGAAAAATAAGAAAGAGATATTTTTTGTTGACTTTCCAAAAATACTATTGATGTAATGGATAAAACTAAAATGTGATGGATAGATTATTATTAGTAAAAAAAAAAGTATGATGTGATAGAAAGGGTATGGAAAAAAAGAGGTAAAAGTAATTTTTTACTCCCTCCGTCCCTAAATAGATTACAATTTTTTTCTCCTCTCGATAACTTTTGTTTGTTTACGCGATTTCATTAAGTATTCGATAAAATAAAATATTCTTGTCACCTTTTGTTTTGTAGACTTTTGACGTAGTTTTTTAATATGTAAATTTTATATCTTATTGATATACCAATTTGTAAATAAAATGATTTCAAAAACTAAAAAATTTTACTCCGTAACACGCAACTTGTAATCAAATTGGGGACGGAGGGAGTAAAACATAAGGGAACATCTTTTGTGGACAACAACAAAATGAAATGAGAAGATATTTTAGGAACAGAGGAAATAAAAAAGTATATTTTAATAGTTATTAGGTTAATTGAATACTCCCTCCGTCCCAGAAAACATGAGAGTTTTGATTTTGAAGAGGGATTTAAGGAGAATGTATTTTGGTATTGAATTTCCAAAAATGTCCTTTGATGTGATGAGTAAAAGTATGATTTGATGGATATATTATTAGTAAAAAGGTATGATGTGATAGGTAGGGTATGAAAAAATAAGGAATAAAAATGACTTTTTAATAGAAATGAGAAGTGTTTTTTGGTACGGATAAAAAAGAAAGGAGAAAGGTTTTCAGGGACGGAGGGAGTATATTTTTTTAAGTAATTTAGATATATCCATTTTCTACGTTCTCCTTCCTTGAATTATCTTCGCATTTACTATCCATGCACGGAGTGAAGTACTATATTTTCTTTTTCTTTTCAATTGTTTCGTAAAATTTTTGATGAAATTTATAGTCTGTTTATTAATTCTACACTAATATTTTCACAAATTGAACTAAAAATAAATTTGGTCAAAAATTGTAATTGGAAATGAAAACTAGGAGACAAATAGCACTCCCTTAGCTTCGTTTGCAAACACAGTTCCTATATTAGTAGAATCACAATACATATCCATACTATACCTGTCCGCATCAGCAACACAATCAGTTGCGAATTCAGAACATTGAGAGCCTTGAAAACAAGCGTCACACTCACAGATTGGTCGACCATCACCAAGCAGTATTCCATCAAGGTAAGCTCTTCCATGGCCTGAACACGGCAGTGATGCCACCGCCTCCGCTTCTGCAGCGGCTCTTTGGCTCCACGTAAGCCGCTGCCGCTGCTGCTGGGGCATCCAAGTGCTACTGCTTATTACATCAAAATTTGTGAAGATAATAATTATTATATTGGGAAGATGTTTAAAAGTATTCAAGCTGAAGGACGACAAAGAGCATAGAATGATCTAAGGGTCCATGGAGACAATTCAATTATGAGAGAAAAGTCACACGCCCACATGTTGGGACCATGGAAAAAAACCATGACTCTTGGATGTATGTCTTTGTCAATGCTAACACCATAATTCAAGCTAAGAAAGTTCGTCCAGTGCCTTGGCTATCCTGTGAGTTGAATTCGGCCAGACCTGGGAGCTGAGGATAATTAAGAACATGCATGGTCTTATATTTGATAGGAAAATGGGGTAATAGTGGGGGTAAATGAAATAGGACACCATTTCGGACTTTGAAACTTGAATGGGATGCATGTGATATATGGCCATTCGTGTCCTTCTATGGTCTAGCTTGAGTGCATACCATTTTTAATTTGTAGACTTTCTCGCCTAAGAAACCTTTTTTTAATTTTAAAAAAATAAACGTTTATTTAGGTAATAAAACAATGCTTATTTTGTTAATATGTAGATTCATAGTAGACTCTAGGTCCACTATAGAATTTGCCTTGGCCATGTGATGGTTGGGGAAAGTTCAAAGCGGGCGGTCTTAATGTTTCGGAACAAATCATAAGTTTCATATTTATCTTTGGAAAAATTATCTCAAATAATCCCACCTTTTCGCGCTCTTTCAAAAATAATCTCACTTTTCACTGTCACCGAAAATAATCCCACCTTTTCGCATGTGTGCGAGTTTTGGGTAACCGTTAAAAAACTAACGGCCACTTAACGGAAGTTTCGCATGTGTGCGAGTTTTGGGTCACCGTTAAAAAACAAACGGCCACTTAACGGAAGTTTTTGAAAATGCCTGTTTTTTGCAAATAAATGAAAGGTGGGATTATTTTAGAAAAATTTACTTTTTACTTTTTTAGTTTTGAATTTAAAATTAATATTTTTAAAAATATAACAATACACTCTTGTTAGAGATTTGTCTAACGATTAACAAATTTTGTTAATTGTTTTGGGAAATTATAGTATTGAATTATCAAAAATAATTCAGAGTATCGATCAAGAAAGAAATTACAATAAAAAAATTGTAGTGATTTATAAAATTTATGGGTTCCGTTTCGGAGAAAAAAATATTGTGTCATTTTCACAACTTTTGAATTACTATTTTGGGGAAAAATTTGTATTGAGTTATTAAAAAAATCACAAATTGAGTAGTTCCATTTTAGAAAGAAAATTTTATTGCAATATAAGATTATCAATAAATATTTCAGAGTGTTCATGGAAAAATTGCAATACATCAGAAAATGTAGTGAGTTATAAAAATAAAAGTTCTATTTTTGAGAAAAAAAATTTTGTGTTATTTTCACAACTATTGTAATGTTGTTTCACAAAAAATATTTATATAGAACTATCGAAAAATGTTCATAAGTTTTGTAGTGCCATTTTTTTAAGAAATAATAATAATGTAGTATCAAAAAGTAATTTGAAGTGCAGCTCAAGAAAAATACAGTAAATGCAACTTACAAAAAAATGTACTCCATCCGTTATCAAAAACACTTCCTCTTTCATTTTTTTCCCTTCCAACAAAACACTTCCACTTTCTATTAAAAAACTACTTTTACCCTTACTTTTTCATACCCTACTTATCACATCATATTTTATCTCTAATAATCTATCTATCACATCTTACTTTTACCTATCACATCAAGGGGCAAAATTGGAAGTCAACTACAATTTAATACTTCCTTATTTTTACACAAAGTCAAAAGAGGAACACTTTTTCCAAACGGAGTAGTTAGTTATTAAGTTAATAAATTAGCTCTATTGTGTAGAATAATTTATTTTCTAATTATTACCATATTATTGATTATTAAAAAAAAACAATTAGTTTCACTCTTAAAACACTTAAATTTGGTATTTTTTCCAAAAAAAAAATAAAATAAAATTACATTTAAAGAAATTAAAAAACGAAAATGGGAGAATTTACCTAAAATAATCCCACCTTTCATTTATTTGCGAAAAACGGGCATTTTTCAAAATTTCCGTTAAGTGACCGTTAGTTTTTTAACGGCCACCCAAAACTCGCACACATGCGGGAAGGTGGGATTATTTCTGGTGAGAGTGAAAAGTAGGATTATTTTTGAAAGAGCACTAAAAGGTGGGATTATTTGAGATAATTTTTCCTTTATCTTTTTAAATGAATTTTAATCATTTAATGTATTAATCATTTCGATACTGTATCTATTGCTCTTATTTTAATAAAATTTGAGTTTTATTTTTTTAAAGTATATAGAGTGAATTTTTATGTCATTTAATTATCTCTAATAAATTTTTTAATAAAATTGTATAATAAAATATTACCATGTACAATTTTATTACATTAATAAAGTGCATAGGCCAAAGAGCTTATGATTTAATGGAATTTGTCTCATAGGCTAAAATTCACCATTGGTCCTTCAACTTTATCAGTTGTGCAAGATTGGTCCTTCAAGTTTTAAAAGTCCATAAATAGTCTTTCAACTTTATGAGTTCTGCACCATTGGTCTTTCAAGTTTCAAAAGTCCATAAGTAGTTCTTCAGGTACACGTCAGCCTTCCATATGAAGTCCTTTTGACAGTAAATATTAAAAATTAACGAAATACTAGTTTCATATAATACGAGAAATTCCACTAGGTACGACTACTCCGTATTATATGGAGCTAGTATTCCATTTAGCTTTTAACATTTACTGTCAAAAGAACCTCATCTAGAGGGCTGACGTGTACTTGAATTGAAGGACTATTTATGCACATTTAAAACTTAAAAGACCAATCGTGCATAACTCATAAAGTTGAAGAACTATTTATGGAATTTTAAAACTTGAAGGACCAATCGTGCGCAATTGATAAAGTTGAAGGACCAATGGTAGAGTTTAGCCTTGTCTCACATGAGAGGTCACAAGTTGGAATAACATAGTGGGAGTAATAACTCTACATGCTTAATGCATTGAAAATATATTAATAAATATTACATGATTATAAAGTTATTAGTATTCAAAAATAAAGTGCATTGTTACCACTCATCATTAGGTATGATAAAATATTGATTAAGTATAATAAGGCTACAATGAAATTCTTTTATAATTTATTAATAAACAGTTTTATAATTGTAGACTATGAATTATAGAGGGAAAAAGTAGGGAGTGCATGAAGCTTAATTAAATAAGGTGCTCATTATGCTAAAATAAATTAAAGTGAACATATAGAGTATAATGAAAAGAAAGGGCAACTTGGTCAATATTTACCCAAAATTTTAAAAGTGGGGTGTAACTAGTAAAAGTTGGAGTGTATATATCAATAGGGTTGTGCTATCATCACCCCATTTTGTACTTCAAAGATTTACCCTGACATAAAATGTAAATGCAACACTGACATAATACCAATTTTACACTTACATTTAGGCCTCATTTGGTACACGGAATTCAAACTATGAAATTAGAATTGAGGACTTCAATTCTAATTCTGGTGTTTGGTAGCACAAAAATTATGAAGATTTGAAATTGATAATGCAAAAAATGAATTGAAATTGGTGAATTCAAATCCATGGAATTGAATTTCATGAAATTTCAATTTAATTCCAATTCCATCAATTTCATATACCAAACAGACTCTTAATGTCAAGGCAAAGCCTTGGGTACAAATATGGATGGAGTACAAGTAGAATTATTCATATCAATATCCTTAAAAAATTCATCCATCAGTTTTTATGTCCAAACTAAAGTTCTTGTATATGGTTCAACTAATGGTGCCCGGTCATAGACCTTTCTAGATCCGATTAACTGGATGTAGGTCTGGGATTGGATAAAAAAATACTTTCTTTATCCACTATAGATCTTCCGGACATTATTTACTAGGTTAAATTTAACTCACTTTGTTTACTTATTTTTAGTATTTATTTCATAAAATAATATAGTCATGTCAACTCTAGATTTGTAAATCTTTTCATGTAAAAATTTATTTTTTATTTTTAAATTTTATTATTAGAATCAAATAAATTGTATCTTCCTATATACAATGCTAAGAGCACATTGTGAACAGTGTTCTCGCCCATTTTACCTCTACAGTTTGGGCTGGTTACGGGCTGGGTGTTATTGGGCCGAAAATGGAGACCTCTCTTGACAGCTATTTTTTGGGTCTACTCCCTTTGGTGTGTGGCTCTATAAAGTAAGCTAATGATGCTTTATTGAGCCAAGTGACAAATCAACTTTACATCCAAGTTTACATCAAATCAAGTAATTAAATAGATTTGCACAATCCAAGCATTTAATGTGCTTTCAATTAGTTGATTCACTATGTATTATATATTCACTATGCCCGAAATGCTAAAACACACCAATCTATTCTTCCACCATATTTGAGTTCTTTTAATTTATTTCCTTGAGATGGCCGAAAATTCTCAAAGGAGTTCTAGGACAATGTTTACTCCGATTTCCGAGTTGGACAACAATCGTACATCTTGAATTCTCAAGTTAAGTGTTAGACACTATAGTAATATTCCTAGTTATAGTAGAATTGTATTATAGTTAGTTACCATATTAGGAGAATCATAATTGTGTTAGGATCTCTAGCTATATATACCCACATGTATTCACCTCTATTGCTTAAGTAAAATCCATGGTTTCATAGAATTCAACATGGTATCAGAGCACAAAGATCTGCTCTTCTTTTTTGTTCATTAACGCAAGAAAAGAAAAAGAAAAAAAAACCCCGCGGCTAGGGTTTCTACTCTTTGCCGATTCTTCTTGCCCTTCCACCGAAGCTTCTTCCTGTCCATCACCATGTCTTCGCCGTCCACCGATCCTATGGATCGACTCCCTACTGGTCTCAAGCTGTTCGTCCGGAATCTTCAATCTCTCACACCGACGAAGCTTGATGATTCGAACTATCCCTCTTGGTCGGCCACCATTAGAGCCAATCTCATGGCTCACCGTCTCCTTGGTTACGTTGATGGTACAGAACCGGAGCCTCCCTCCCTCATTCTTGACGGCAAAGCCACTGCTTCGGGCAAGGAGGATCCTCCGATTATGAAGGACAATCCGGCATATGAAACTTGGATGGTCGTTGATGCCTAGATCTGTGCATGTTTATTGGCCATCGTCTCCCCCACTGTTCAAACGCACATCCATGCTCTTCCCACGTCTGCAGCCATATGGACTCACATTGAGCAACGGTATAATTCTCTATCTCGCACCCATATTTTCCAGTTGAAAGAACGTCTCCACAGTCTTCAAAAAGGGAGTGATTCCATGCAAACCTATCTTGACAATGTCTTGAATATTGTTTCCTCCCTTACTCTGGCTCATGAACATATCTCGGACCAAGACATCATACTCTGTATACTCCGTGGACTGCCAACGGATTATAGTTCCATGAAACAAAACATTCGAACTAATATTGGGAATGTCAATTTGAATCAAGTCTCGGCCTGGCTTCTATCAGAGGAACTCAACGTCAATCTTGAGAAACAATTACAAATCACAGGCTCTGCCTTGTCATCTTCTTTGGAAATTCACAACACCCTTTTCACAAATTCTGGCTGGGGTAATTTTCGCGGCCGGGGACGCGGTGGTTACCGCGGCAGTGGCAGTTCTCGAGGCGGGGGTACGTACGGCAGCAAGGGCAGCCGTCCTCCTAGTCACCAGCGGGATGATCACCGTGGCAGAGGGGGGCCACTGCCTAGTTCCGTCACTTGTCAGCTCTGTGGGAAGTCGGGTCACGCGGTCTGGGATTGTTGGCACCGCTTTGATGAGTCCTACTTTGGTCCTTCCCAGGCATACTACACCACTTAGTCCACTGACATCAATTCAAACTGGCATCTGGATACAGGGGCAAATGCTCATGTGACTTCAGATTTATCTCGTCTGCAGTCTTCTTCACCATATCAAGGCACTAACTCTATAACTACTGCAGGAGGTAATACTTATCCCATTAATCACACAGGCTCAGGTATTTTAACCACCTCCCATCATACTTTTCATTTACCCAATCTACTCCACTCACCTAATATTAATTCCTGTTGGCCATGTGTGCATCAATTGTCCCGTGGCAGAGGCTATGTGGGCCAAGTCACAATCGAATGTCGTTGGCGCTTGTGTGCTGAATGCACTATAAGGCTAGGGTATGCGCCTCTTCTAACACCAATTGGTTTTAGAAGAGTTGGTAGCGCCTGAGGTCCTACATCACATTAAATACAATTAATAGCCTAGGCAGCTCTAAGTGGGTGATATGAACTAACTTTTTCTTGAAAGATGTTTGGGTAATAAATGTCATTTAAAAGAAGGGCTTTGGTTAACTCAACACTTTTTAGACGGCACCCATCTCAAATTGCAGCCTTTATTTTTTTTATTTTAAACTACATGTGATAAACCACATTTATGACACCTTGGGCCTTACACTAAGATTTGCACGCCACTCATACCTTGGGCCACACACTTAGATTTCCTAATTTCTTTGCATATCTTCATCATTAATGAAGCTGTCAAGAATGCTTAGTAATAATAGATGTACCCTCACATTAAATGAGAACACTTATTACGAACTCATCACTTCTTGTAGGCAATTTTAAAGTTAATGTGTGCTTGACACTGTTCACTTTTTCACTATATTATATTAATTTACTTTATGTTTGGATATATAATTAATAATTAAATTCTTATATATGCTACTAAAAATGATATCTTTTCGTAATAAAATATAAAATAAATAATATTTTAATTTTATGTTCAATTAATAATAGATGACTAACCAAGAATTTGCCTTGATAATTATTAATTAAAACACGGAAAAAATAGGGATTGAATTAACATTTTGATGAAAAAGGTCTACTATATATATATATATATATATATATATATAAATATATATATATATATATATATATATATATATATATATATATATATATATATATATATATATATATATATATATATATATATATATATATATATATATATATATATATATAGTTATATATATATATATATATATATATATATATATATCATCAAAATACTTGGAGTTCGCCTAAACCAAAAACCAAGTCATCCGGCGTTCGGCTTTCAGAAACCGGCGTTCGCCTTTCGGTTTTCGGCATTGGTTTTTGGCATCCGAACCAACCAAGTGGTTTTCAACTTTTTATGATTGTTTTTTACTTCTGGGCCTATTTAAACAATTCTCCAACAAAAACGCTTCAAAAACCACCTTCCGTTTTTGGTCGTTTAGTGAAAACCATGTGAAACGACACAAACTTGGTTAGCCGTGGTTTTCAACTAAATGACGTGGTTTTTGAGTTGTTTTACTTGATTTCTTAGCAAAATGCCATAAACAAATGTTTTCAATACTTGGTTTTTATTTTGGAGAACTTACGTTTTTGACATCGGCTAACGGCATGACTAAACCAACCATGGGTCTGGCTAAACCAGCCCAACAACGATGTTGGTGCAACCAACAGCGCTGTCTGGCTTAGGTAGCTGAAAACCATGGTTTGGCGTTAAGTCTTCCAACAGCGATGTTGCATATTAGACATCGCTGTCGAGCCAAGGTTGGGTTTCTAGAAACATCTGGAACAACGATGTAGACTACCCTACATCGCTGTCCAACCTAAGCCAAAAATAAACGCTTCTGGTAGAAAGTTTTTGGACAGCGATGTTGACCCAGCAACAGCGATGTCATGCCAAACCTTCCACCTTCAAAGTCAGACCTAAACAGCGATGTTCAAGTAATGAACATCGATGTAGGGACCTGACCGTTAGAAGGAATTTAAGGCTAAAACTTTCCTTGTTTGGAAGTCAACAGCCAAAATAGCGATGTAGGGGTATTGGACATCGCTGTTGGCATGACCGTTGCTTCCCATTTTCAAAACCCAAGCCTAGAACAGCGATGTCCAAGCCTAGGACAGCGCTGTCTGGCTGATTTTCAGCAGATCCAATTTCAATCAAATCCCACAAATCAAGCCAATCACCCCTTAAATGTTTTGACCCGTTGGAGCCTATTTTGGCACTATAAAATGGGGGTGTTTGGGTCTGTTTTACATATCACATTACTTCACAACTCCTATTCGTTCATTGCATATTATTCATACATTATTCATAGCTTTTCGAGGGCCATTTTTGTGAAGTTCGTGTTGTGATCTTGAGCGTATTACTTTACTCATATTTACTCTTTTGAGAGAGCCTTGTTCTTGAGTGTTCTTAGTTTTTATAGACATTAAGGGAAGTTTGTTTCCCTTGGTTGTACGAAGGAAAGGTACTTTCCTTCGGGTTGAAGTCTTGGAGTGCGGTATCTCCGAGCAAGTGTTGTTGAGGCTCGTGGGACTCGAGTTCTCAGGTTGTAACGGTTTGTTAAGCACCCGTAAGCTTAACGGAAGTAGTGTAGCTCGAGAGAGTCTCTCGGGAGGCTGGATTAGCCAGAAGTTGTGGGGAACCAAGGCTGGATTAGCCAGAAGTAGTCTCTCGTTTATTCATTTTTTATTCCTCCGATTTCTTGATCAAACGCTATACACCCCCCCTCTAGCGTTGGTCTATTATTCTAACATGTGATGCACGGGCTTCATTGTGAGTTGTGGAATTGGCTTCATTTCACACTCAACTAATTCTTTATTCTTTAGTTTTATAAACACATTTTTCTTAAAATTTAATTATATGATGATTAATAGGAATTATTCAATTTAATTATTCATTTTAAATATGCAAATATACAATTTTGATACAATCAAAAAGCGTACGAATTGTGAGGTTCAATGTGATTATAATTGCTAGATATTCAATATTTAAAATAATAAAAATTCTTTAACAGTTATTGTTTTTCGAAATTGAAAATAAATATAATCTGAAATAGGAAATACCGTGTAATGTATATAAAAAAATTATACTTTAATCAAAATATTAATACATTCCAAAATGCATGCATGTTCCAATTAAAAAAAACCTTTTTGTTTAAAAATAAAATTTATATATAAAAAATATATTTCTTTATTTTTTGTGTATATAGAAGACATTGTGTGTGTACATTTATATCTGATTAAAACTTCAAAATTAATATTTAAAAAATATGAGTGAGAAATCCATGAATTAATGCATCTTACAAAGCCGAATATGTAATTAATCTGATATCAATCAAAGCCCATATATATATATACATATATATATATATACATCCATATATATATATATATATATATATATATATATATATATATATAAACACATATATATGTATATACACACACACACGTTTTATTAATAAGATTTGTACTCTATGCAATAATTAATACACCCACCCACACATCCTCTTTGAGCCACCCACCTATCCTAATAATAGGGTTTAGTTTCATTCATTTAATGCACTATAAGGCATGCCAACTATGTTACTCTTTCCCTCTAACTTAAACATTTATTTCTCTATCTCCCAACCAACCTCTTCTTTGAAGTTGATATGGAGCATTTAAAGCTAGCATTAAATTCTTCCTTTCTAAGGTATGCAAATCACATCCACTGAATTTAAATTGTTCTTAATATAACAAGCATGTTTTTGCATTAGAATTGAGTTATTATTGTTAATGTTCCAAAAATACTTTTTTATTAAATTATACAAAAAAGCCATAGACGGAAAAAGCTACCAATTTTGCATTTTTGTTTTTAAAAAATCACAAAGTTAAGTTATACACTAAAAATATACTATTTTGAAATTTGAATAAAAAATTTTCATAATGACTTTTATAATATTTATTTGTTGTGCTTCAATTAATGAGAATATGGGATTCAAAACAGGATACCTGAGGTCCTCTCTCCCTTGCAATGAGAAAGCTTACGAAAACTGAAAGAATATGTTCAATACATGATTCAGAATAACAACCAGACAAAGGTAAGTTCTGATTTAAAATAAATAATCAATTAATGAATAAACTAATATATGTATTTTTAATTATATAACTATATTTATATTACATGTTTTAAAACCACGCCAACTTTGATAAATATGTCAAAATTTAATATCCTGCAAAAACAAATCTGTGAATGTGCAATTGAACCTTTAACATGTTCAACCCTTCAATGAAACATGTTCAATAAGATTCAATGGCTTTAATGTATACTCCCTGTTTTGAGATTATTATTTTTTGAACTAAAACATGTTATTAGCTTAATCTAATATACTGTAAACATATATTTAAGCTCAGATTTTGAAGACCTTTAATTTTTATTATAAATGAAGAAATGTAGAAAATATATTTGTAATACACACAACTTTAAATACTTAAGTCATTAATTTCTGTAGTAAAGTATTCCTTTTAAGAAATATTTTTATAAAGGATTGAATCTAGCAATATGTAACAAAATAAAATTAAACTCTCTAAATGGAATTCGAAATAATAAATTAATTTTCACTTTAAAGAACCATATTATAATGGTCAGAATTAATCAGAGAATTTTTGTAAAGTTAAGAACTACATCTTGAATTTTTTAATCACTAATAAATCTAAATTGCAGATTTATAGATATAGTATAATCAATCAAATTTAATATTTTTTTGGCAATATGAAATCACAGATCTGAAGTTCTAAGAACAAATTTACAATAATCCTAGAAGGAAGTTTCCTAGAACAACTAAGAGATCCTATGCATGTGGGTTTAGTAACTCGAATCATATTAATAAAAAACAGATTTTACTTTTTAAAATAAAATTTCTAATAATACACATCAAGGAACATGCATGTGGGGTGAAGATCTAAACAACTAAACAAAGAAGAAGAAAGGAAAATATACGGATCTAAAATTTCAAAATAATCTGTGAAAATAGGGAGTATTTGGTCATGAAAAAATTCTGATGTAATAATAAAAAATGATTTTCTCAGAAATCACCCCATATTTGAAATAAATTGACGTCGTTGAAGAACCAGAGATTCAAATCACCGCCGTTTCCATCCAAATAAATATAGGTATGTAGCTTTTCTAGATAGATGTGGTGAGGCGTAAGAGACGACAGGAAATATTTATCGCCGGCAACTGGAGTACTGTAAACTCCATCCCCGGCGATTGAAGCTTTTCTAGAGAGATGAGGGTCGGCGTAGGAGACGGCGACAGATAAAGTGAGTGTGTGGTTGATATTACGGAATTATAAACCTACATTGGGCTAGGCCGGTTTTTTGGGCTAATTATGGGTTTTTTTTAAATGTTGCTAAGGCCTTTTTATATATTAAATTTTAAAATTGGGCCAAAACATTGGGCTGATAAATTACACTTTGGCCAAATTAATAAATAAATTGTTGTATTATGTGAAGAAATTTTTTATCTTTTATTAATAAATGAAAATTTTTATTTATATATATAGGAGGAATTGGAAGTTTTATTGAATCATGTTACAAGTGCAAGAGTAGCAAAGATTCAATTGATATGGAAATGTGTTGGATTTGCAAAAATTCAACAACTTATTACATTTTTTTCGTATGTGAAGATATTTTTTATCTTTTATTAATAAATGAAATTTTCTATTTACATATATAAGAGGAATTGGAAGTTTAATTGAACCATGTTACAAGTGCAAGAGTAGCAAAGATTCACTTGATATGGAAATGTGTTGGATTTGCAAAAATGTTTTTGGTCATCTTCGCTGCCTACGAATTGGTGATGTTGGATGGGGTTTATATTTTATTTGTGATGTCTGTGCTGTTTTTCCACCTCCACCAACAACTTCACTCCCAATGCTGCCTCCACCATTCCGCCGCCTTTGCCACTTTTTATGCCTGTACTGCTGACGATGGGAATGACACCTTGTAACGCCGCAAAATATGGCCTAAAATTTATTATAAAAAAAGTAGTTTTTATCCAATAAGAAATATTTGTACGTTTGACTAAAAATAAATGGATTTTAAAAATAATAACTTTTTGTTAAAATCTTATTTTTATGGATATGTCTCGAAGAGACAAATCCAACGGTACATTTTATGAACCAATCTGATTTATAGATTTCAAGCTATGACGATTTTAAATATTAAAATTTGTAACTTTGACCCATAAAATAAACTCAATTCAAAAGAGATTTCATAAGATTAGAAAACTTAATTTTTGACACTTGACAACACCATATTTATCATTTGGATTAAATTCATATATTTTTATATCATTTATATTATTAAATTAATTTATGACTGAGACAGACCCGAACACTGATAAAAAATAAAAGTTCTCAGAAAAATATTCTGATTACATAAAAATTTTAAAAACACAATCCGTTTTCCATTCGAAGCAGTTTGGGCGAAAAAGCGCGTACCGTTTAGAATAAACTGTTCAGTTTTGGCAAAAAGCCAAAACTTAAATTATCAAATCTCTTCCAAATCACGGACCAGCCCCTCCTAGCCTCACTTTTGCTCCACTAGCCACCTAAAGTCTCTCCCTACATAATACTTCCAAAGTATTATGTTATAATACTCCACCACCACAATTATCTTCATTATCATCATGTTCCACCATCATCACCATCATCTCATCTCTCCACTCTCCATTCTCTCATTGTCGGCAACATCAAGGAGAGAAGAAAACACCCTCCTCCATAGATGGTTCAAGGAAGAAGGAGAAACAAGAAGAAACCATCCATAGTTTCCAAATCATGAGTTCCAAACGCAGCATCAACTTCTACGTAAGTTCTGTAATTTTCCATCCATTATCTCGAAATAATTTCTGAACCAAAGTTGTAGCCCCGGATGATACAAATCCAGCCCAACAAACGGCTTGCGATTTCGTTAAGTAACGAAGGAGATATGGCCAAAATACCGGGACTGCGCCAGTGGTGGCGAGCTCCTCGGGTTGGCTATGTTTCCTCACCATATCCATGTTGTTTCATTCCAAACACTTACCATAAACTCTCTAACGATTATTCAAAACATCCGGAAGGTATCGTAGAGAAGGTTCGGTGTTGGAATATTGAAGTTAATGAGTTAATCGTCGAAATCATTGTTCATCGACATATCCGAAATCCTGGACAGCAACTATCCTTTGACTTCAGGTCCAATTTACGCTATCTTACATCTGCTAACTCGAAATACTTTCTATACGAAAGTTATAGCCTTACATCTTAGGAATCCACAAAATCAAGCGGTTTGCAATTCCCTGAAGAAACAATGGAGATATGCCCAAAATACGGCAGGTTGCCCAATTGTGACGAGAATGACAAAGTTGGTGAATTGCGATGTTGTTTCCACTCCCGCTCATCCGTAAGGTTTCGGCCGATGATTTCCAGGTCTGTACCCTTGCGTTAGACTTGTCGAATCATTCATCACATACATACATGAACATATATATTAATCCATATGTTGAAATCATCCCAAAATATATATGTGATGCATATATAAGTCATCTATATGTTGAGATCAAAATACACCAAATCCATAAAGTTAATATATATACATAAGTATATATAAACATTTGAAATCAACCCAACAACATGTATTTGTTAATCAAAGGTGTTTAAAAGACTTAAAGAAGTATTTTGAACACTCAAAATATCAAGAGAAAGATTCACAGACCCAAACGGTTGACGCAAACGGTCGACCGTCGTATTAAACTTCGAAACGGACCACGACTGCCAGTAGAACGGTCGACCGCCGTCGGCGAATGGTCGACCGCCGCCAACCAGCCGAAGTCTGCCTTCCGCAGCTAGTCAACAACGGTTGACCGCCGGTCAACCACGGTCGACCGTCATGGTGATCCGCCAATCCGACCTGATGAAGATCAAGGTCGACCGTCGCGCCAAACGGTCGACCGTTCCGAGCCCCGTAGCTTAATTAAATGATATTTTTTTATCATATTTCACCTAAATAAAATAAAGTATATTTATCCATTCATATTATTTACAAATTATTCATATCATATGACTCATATCATCACACATATTATAGCATATCATATCATATGCATGCGTAAGAGATCATGCGTAATTGCGTCTCTTATAGCTGTGATTGTGCGGGACTTAGCAGTCCGACATCACTGACCGGGCTTAGTGTACGCACATGGTATTCAGGCTTTCGAGTACCACCCCTATTTTTCTAGTCTCCCTTGTGAGACTAAGGCCGCTGAGTTCATTGTACCAAATGGGCGAATTTCACAATGCAAGGGTCGTCCTTGTTGACTTAGAATCATGCATCATGTCATCATCATCAAGTACATTGATTACATAGGTGTCATGTAATCATCATCAAGAACAAATATATTGATTACATAGGTGTCATGTAATCATCATCAAGAACAAATATATTGATTACATAGGTTTCATGTAATCATCATCAAGAACAATTATATCTATTACATAGGTGTCATGTAATCATCATCAAGAAGAAATATATTGATTACATAGGTTTCATGTAATCATCATCAAGAACAATTATATCTATTACATAGGTGTCATGTAATCATCCTCACGAACAAGCAAATTGATTAAATGTGCCATAATTTAATTATCAATAAATATTTATCATCATAAATCATCAAATTGATAATATGATATAATGTGCCATATCATGAATATTATTATACACCTTGTGGACGTATATATATGTATATGTATATGTCTGTTAATTATTCTACAATTCTAGCGTGGTACCACTCAGCGGTTTCGCTGAGCGTGTAGTTTGTATATTTCGTTGACTACACGTAGGTAACAAGAGGACAATGACGGAACCACTCCCGGAGGGCATTGAGTCTGAGGAGATGCAAGGATGGCAGACAAATGTTTGATCATCAAAGATTTTAAATGTGTCATGATTTAATTATTATTGTACTTCCGCATTACTCTGAAAATATTTTTAAACGGGTCGCGATCCAGAGTCTGTAAATTTAATATTTATAAGTAATTGTCATTTTCAAATGTCAAGCGAAATTTTTATTTAACTCTCGTTTCACCTTAATTCGTGTAATTCCGGGTTATACCGATTGGGGTGTTACACACCTACACCGCCTACACTGAGAAGATCTAAACGTCTTAAAATAGAAAATAAAAAATATTTTAATGATACGTATGTTACTTATTGAAAGACAAATCATGTATTGGAATGTGTACTACTTCCATGTTCGGTGTTTTTGTTTCTTGTACTAAATTCCATGTTAGTTACTCTTAAACTCACTATTATAATCTTCAATGAATGTATAATGATCTAATTATTGTATGACGTATGTCACCGTTATTAACATCAATGAATGAATTTCAAGATATATTCTAGCAATGGCTATTATATATATTACTGATTTTGGAATGAGTTTTATTAGTGTTACAAATATCTTATATTCACTTATTAAGAATTTATTTATGTTAGCCCTTTATATTTATTTTGGAATATATTTTTGGAATGTATTTGACTATTTTATATTTCTATTATAATTACCTACATAGAAAATGAAACAAGTAGCCCTTTCAGAGATAAGTCCATATCCTTGCGAAGAGACTTGAATATTTACACTCCATCGCCTCTTAGCAACTAAACAAATGGTATATATTTCTATTCGATATTAGTTGTTATATATGAGTTAAATATTAATTTATGATTAAACATTTCTGTTAACTTTATTTTACAGTGAGAGTTTGTACGCCGTTTGATCGCTTCTCTTCGCCTTCGTCAAGCTCTATTAATGTATCCAGTGAAGTAGTATGTAACCTTGATAACCTTACTCTACCACAAAGTTGTATTACACAAAGAAAGGTTTGTTCTATAAGAAAACGATCATTTGACGTAGGTACTTGAAGATTGAGTTTTAGTGGTAGTAAATTTCCCTCTAAAAGAGTTCAATTTATTCCCATGTCGTATTCACAAGGATTGGCATGTAAATAAATTTTCTATTAATAATTAGTTAGGCAAGGCATAATGATTGGTATTGGAAGTTTTCTAATTTCGAAAATTTAAGTTGATTGAACAGAATGGTAACTTGATTGAATTGATAAAGAGGAATAAGAATTGATTTCAGGTAGTAGGCAATTTCAGATATATCTTAACTAGTTGGAATACTAAAATAATTAATTAATTGTCTAGTGAGAGTTCTGTCACAACTACTCCATTAATTAAATCTTATCTCTAAGTTTCATTAATGTGCTAGTATTGGTTGACTAAATTATTTTTCACATTCATAGACAAATGGATATAATAATTTTTCAATAATTAATTAATAAATTGGCCAGATAAATTAATTATAACATTACAACAATTACTAGCAACTTAACATTTTAATTAATTAAATTTAATATTCCAACTTAATTAAATTTATCCTACATACCTACTACCCTATTTCAATTCACATTCCTAAAATATTTAAGCAGACATGATAACAATTANCGGTTTGATTGGATTCTCCGCCGAAAATCCGATCTTGCGCCGCTTCAAATCATCACCCCCACAGGCGTGCGCCTGAGGCTGGGGCGCACGCCCCTCAGATGCCTGGGATCAACTTTGGCCCAATTTTGGCAATTTTGACATTTTGATCCATTCTTTTTGCTCCAAAGCCTGATTTGATCTCTTTCTTCACTTGTGATCATCAATTTGAAATATTTTCTTCTATTTGGCCATGATATGCTTGGAAAAACTAAATTTAATTTTGAACAATCTTTTTATTAACAAATTTGTAAAATGACTTTTTATCATAAAAATTTATTTGAAATTCTTGATTTATTTTTGTTTACGTACAAGAATGTTGAAATATAAGGTATAAAATAAGACCAAAAAATTGGACTTATCAGTACGTTTCATTTTACCTTTGAAATCCTTTCTTCATTGTTTTAAGATCATTAAGCGTTAGATACTATTCATATTTTTCAAAGTTTATATTATATGACTATTACACTGCACAGCAAATGAAGAGATCAATACTCCTTTACCTCAAATTGCTTTCATAAACGACTTTGTTACACAATCTTGGACGGTAGATTCAGATTTGCGTCGTGATAATAACGATATGATTCATGAAGAAATTGTTCAAGATTTGGATATGGACTTTATTGATTTAGTAGATTCCAACCGTTCCTCATGTGTTATGTCCTCAAGCAGAAGGGTTTTTCAAAAAGTCAACTTTTGGGACATCGGTGATTGTAGTTACAAATGTAAATGCTGCAATGCCTTCTTTTGGCTAGAAGAACCTTTGATAAGTCATTCTACTAAAAAGGATCCTAAGTATTCCCTTTGTTGTAAACAGGGAAAAATTAAATTGTTCCGAAATTTGCGCAGTTATACATTTATGACACGCAAAACGAAGATTTCAATAGGATCATGTCTGTGAGGTATATATTATAACCGATTAATTTTACACTATTTCACATTAGACACAATAGTCGGAATCATAGTTTATTGCTGAAATGTTGTAGCCAAGTTCAGGGAAAGAAGAGAGCGTGCATTCATTACATCTCGAGATTGTCGCCAAGCTCAGGGAAATAAATGTTGGATACTCACAATGTATTGGTCCAGTCCTTTCGGATGATTGGCTAAAGGATGAGTGAATCCGCGGATTTAGAATTCAAATTGAAGTTAATTGGGAGGAGAACTTCAGATCCGAGGGTTTACAATTTACCATCTGTTGGTGAAGTGGCAGCTTTAATTGTTGGATATCTTGACCAGGCTCTAGGAGAGATATATTCTGGTCCAAACTCATTCTAGTCCGTTGAAACGGATAAGTGAGTTGAATGCAGCATATTTGAGTCATTAATATCCACTATTGTTTTCGTATGGCGATGATGGATATCGAGAGGATATCCCTTTTGTTGAGAAAACACTGCTAAAGGTTGGCGGTCGGAGAAGTGTTAGCATTAGAGAATTCCTCTCTTATCGTTTACACGAAAGAGATGATGAAAGTTCATTAATCTTACGATCACGACGACTTTTTCAAGAGTTTTGTGTTGAAGGTTATACGATGGTTGTGTCATCCAGATTGATGTACATTAGCACACACCCGAAAAAGTTACGTTGTGAGATGTAACGCCCCAAAATATACCCTAGAATTATTAATGAATAAATAATCAATTAATCAGATTTGTTTTGATTAAAATAAATTATTGTTGGGCTTTGGGCCGATACGAAATTTGTTTTGACATCTAATATCAAAATCTGGATAAGTCTCATAGAGATAAATCCAATATGTGGACTATTTGTGTGGTCTTGATTGGGAACCTGAGTACAGACCCAAAACAAGAGTAAATAAAGAATTTGTTTAGAATGTAAATATTGAAATGATTTGTTGAAATAAATCATTAGAATAATTGATATGAATTAAATGAGAGAACCTTTTATGAGAAAGGTCAATTAAACCAATTTTGACTCTGTTAAGGTCAAACACCCAAAAATGTGGTGTCGGAAAAAGTATAACGAATGAATATAAAAATTATATTGTTAGATAGAGTTTAACTGCTTGATCGCAACGGTGCAAACGGAATCCAATTCGGAGAACGTTGGACCAAAAAGTGTACCCCGACTGGAACCAAAATTGGTCCCAATCAAGGATGGCGTAGGGAATCAGAACATATCGCCGCTGAAACCACTAAGCCCAAGTGTGAGTCACGAATGACTCAACAAAACTTGGCTATTTCCTTCTCCAATTTGCTATAAATGGACTCCTTCATTTTTCTCAAATCTCCACAAAACCTACTGAAATTCGTCCCATGAGAATCTAGAGCGTGAAGCGAGTAATTTGACAGTATTAATTGCCGTCGAGGTCGCCGGAGCAAGCCTTGGTGTTCGCCGGAAGTTTCGCCGTCCAATCGTCGGAATCATCGTTTAGCCCCGAGGTAAGCCCGTAGATATATCTA